CTCGCACCCTTGGACTAATGCGGCGCAACTTGGACTCTTGAGAACGATCCTTGGATAAATAGAAAAATTGAACATTCCTATATTCGGGGCACGAGGCAGCAACAGTACAATCCGCTCGAATGCTGCGCCGGCCAGCAAAAAAGAAGCCTCTGACGAGGGAAAATTGCCTGAAAGTGTGGCAGGCGCAATGCAATGATTTTGAGGGTCCGCGTCGTAGCCCCCGGAGCAAGGGGCCCTCAACGAAATGGATAGTTGCTTCAGTGCAGGTCAGTTCTGCTACTGTTTCAGGATCTACAGTTTGTTGTAGGTAACTTAGCTTTTTTTTTGCAGCCTCATTTGCGCGCTTCCCGCCTTAAAGCAGCAGAATGGCATCATTGATTCCATACGCTGCTTCTGTGATAAAGCAGAGTACACTATTGCAAGCACGACCGATTTGATGGCTCTTGGTGTATCCAGAGGAGATGACTGGCTACCCGGACATCTGCATCTTTGTCGATGAGGACCTTTGCATTCTGTCGCCTGGCAGAGGACAGTCGCCAGAAGCATCGTTTGCAAAGGCGAAGGAGCGGCATCCCATTGCTGAAATGGTCCGCATAGGTGTGCCTTGCATTGGCTACAGCCTAAGCCAAAGACGTATCCTGCTCCTCTGGATTTTCACAGCTGCATGTTCGTCCGACTCAGGCATGGTCGATTCAAACAACGAGCCAAAGTTTGTGGATATCGCTATCCCTAGCAACACTTCCAGCACAAAGCGGGGTCCTGGGCTTCTTCCTGTGCCTGGAAAGTCAACCAACAGCTTTCCTGCACTGTCCAGATCCATTGACCTGGTCATTCAAAAGCTGTGCGAGTCCATCAAGAAGGGCAAGGCGACGAGCATTCTCTCTGGCAGTTCTGTGTCAGCTGAAGCAGCCGACTTGTTGAACAGATTTGAATTTTCCAAGACTCATATGCAATGCTTTGGCCAGACGCTGTACGACGCCGCCCAACCGGGTGACAGGGAGGCAGCTGCACTGTGGAACTGCTAAGTCTGTTCAGTTAAGGCGTAGCGGTCAGTGGCTCTTCAGGACTTTCCCAAGGAGTGGGATCCCTGGATCCTGAGCCGAGCCCAGCCCTAAGCCCTCAAGATGGTGCGAAAGCTTTGGCATTGGCCAACTGGACAATCCATTTGGCTTCAGAGGATCGCATGAGATGCCTGCGACGACGCTCAAAGCGTCAGGGCTGGATGAAGGCCGGCAGTAGTAGCACTCCAGGATCCTCAGCTTGTTTGGCGATTTCATGATGTTTTCTTATCTATACATTATTACATGTATCTAATCACAAATCATTGCATCAGCTCCATCGAATGATTAGAAGGCTGGGCAAAACCCAACAGTAGACTTTGCTGTGGGGAGTCGCTCTCTGTATAATTAAGCTATTTTTATCCATGAAGTTGTGAAATCACGAGTCCCTGC